TCGGCAGAAAATCCTACTTGGCGGGCGGGGTGGGGGAGGCACTGCAGAGTGGTGGGGGGCGGCCCGCGGGGCTGGGAGAGGTTCCGGCCCACGCTGTGCCTGGGCTGGGACTGGTCCCGCCGGCACAGGGTAGCAGGAAACTCTCCTCACACTCACCGGACCTGGGCTAGGACTGGGTCTGGGGGCTCCCGGAACTCGGCAGAAATCCCATGAATTTCTTTAGTTGTTCTTTGTTGGCGAAGTATCTTATCTCTCCATTAAGTGTGATAGATAGTTTCACAGGGTACGTCAATCTGGGTTTGAAGTTGTTTTCTTTCAGGACCTGACATGCTTCACGCCAAGCTCTTTTTGACTTGATGGTTTGTGTTGAGAGGTCTTCTGTGATTCTGATGGCTTTGCATTGTAGGTGATCTGGTTCTTTCTCTCACGGCTTCTAATACTGTTTTGCTGAATTTCTGGGATCTTGATTATTACATGTCTAGGTGTAGATTTATTATGATTGTGGCTAATTGGAGTTCTGTATGCCTCACTTACTATATGTCAGATTTTTTCTCTTGCTTAGGAAATTTCCTGCCACTACATCTGCAAATAGTCTTTTATGTTATTTTTGTTGATTCCTGCTGTTTTGTTGATACCTATTAGTCTTTTATAGTTTTTCTTTGACTCAACTTACAGCTGTTGAATTGTCGTTTCTTGGTTCCTTGTTATTTTTAACAGCTCTTCTGTCTTGTGTTCACTAGATGCAGTGCTGTCTTCTTGGTCTTAAAGTGTGTCTTCAGTTTTGTTCAAGCAGTTTTGCTAGCTTTCGATGGAATCTTAATTTCCTGGATAGCTAGTTGAATCTGTTTCATACATTCTAATTTTTTCCTGCACTTTTCATTCAATGTTCCCATCATTTTTTCTATTCTTGTCTTTTTTTTTTTTTAAATTTATGCTTTCTGTAGATGTGCTGAGCAATTTTTTCATGATTGTTGTCATTTCTTGTCTTACCTGCGAGATTATTTCTGATCTGAGTTCTTCTATAGCCTAGTGCATCTTTTTTTTTTAAATTTCAGTTGCTATCATTTTAGAAATTTCAGGTGTGTGGCTTCAAGTTCTTCCATGTTCTTATCTCCTGGACTTGTTCTAGGTGGGGTGGAGGTCTGAGACTGAGGCTGCTTTTTACTCTTTCATTTTGTTATTTGTTTATTTATTTATTTAGCTCTTTCATTTTGAAGCTCCCAGTGTTCACCAGGGCTCAGCAGCAATGGCAGGGCGTGGGCTGCAAGTAGCAAGGCTCCTGTGACAGTTCTGGGAGTGAGGTAGGCTCACCAAAGGGCAGCTGTAGCACTCACACCCTTGTCTCCGCATTACACCATGAGTCAGTCACGCACTACAGGTCTAGGAACCTTGAAAAAGCCCTGTGGACACATGAGGCTTTGTGGGGGAACATCCAGACACGAACTGTAGTACGATCTGTTTACCTCTTTCTTCTTATCTGTCTTTTATTTTGCTCTTAATTTATATTTTGGGTTTTCCACATAAGAGAAACCATGTAATATTTAAGCTTTTTGTCTGATTTATTTCACTTAACATTACAGTCTGAGGTGCATCAATTTTCCTACAAATGATTCAAGTTTATCCTTCTGTGTGGCAGAGGATAAACACAGTTCAAGGCTGGCTGGGCTACATAGTGAGTTCAAGACCAGCGTATACTTCATAGCAAGACCCTGTGTCAAAAAAAACAAAAACAAGGGGCTGGTGAGATGGCTCAGTGGTCTAAAGCACCTACTTAGAACAAGCTCAGCAAAGCACAGGGACCACGGTTCAATCCCCCAGCACCACATGCCAGCCAGCCCTGCCCCCTGGTGGGCTGAGCTGGCCACACACACACACACACACACACACTCATAAATTAAAAAACAAAAACAAAAACAAAAAACAAAAACGAAATAGAAACACTGCTCCATAATTTATTTATATTTATTTATTTTTTTTGTGGAACTGGGGATTGAACTCAGGCCCTTGTGCTTGCCAGGCAAGTGCTTATTCTAATGAGCTATCTCCCCTTTCCCTCCATAGCGTTTAAATACATTTTATTTATCCTTTCATCTGAGGATGGACATAGAGACTGATTCCAATATCTAACTATTATGACTTATGCTGCTATAAATACAGTAGGCATGTATCACTGTAATAAGATGTCTTTAACTCTTTTAGGAAGAGACCTAGAAGAGAAAAAGTTGGATTAAATGGAATGTATACTGTTATTTTTTTTTAATCTCCTTATTAGTTTTCATAGTGGTTTATAGTAGTTGGCATTCCCCTATACAATATAGAAAAGGGTTATTTTTTTTTTTTCTCTGAATCTTCACCAACATTTGCTATTGTCTGATTTCTTGATTATAACTGTGGAATCTCAGTGTTGTTTTAATTTGAATTTCTTTCAGAGATGCTGAGCATTTTTTCATATGCTTACTGGCCATTTGCATGTCTCTTCTGAGAAGCGTGTCTTCCTCTTAGTTGCCCAGCTTTTGGTTAAGCCTCTTATTGGGGGCCGGGGGGGGGGGGATCGCCTCTCCAGTTTTCTTGTTTCCTGTATCACGCAGCGAACGTACCTGTTCATGCTTCTTTGTGAACATGGACAACTTTTTCTGTAGACCACATCCCTAGCAAAGGGATTATTGGTGTGAAGACTGTTTCCGATGTGGAACATTAATTGCCCAGAAAAAAAAAAAATTGTCTCAGCACACTGTAGGCAGCAGGGCCTGACAGTGCTCGTTCCTGCACCCCTTTTCACCCCTGCTTATTCTTCGTGTTTCTAAGGGAGTCTGATTCAGAAGTAACCTTTTCATCTTCCAGAAATCTCAGCGAAAATTACATCACTGAACTACGTGAGGATTCCTTTGAAGGCCTGCTCTCCCTGCAGTATTTGTAAGTTAGTTAATCATATTTACGTATGAGTTTTAACTTATCTGTAAAAGGAGGAGAGCATTCAAGTTAGATATTCTCCAAAATCTCTTCCAGCAATAAAATTAGGCAATGCCAGCCTGTGCAGGTCTCAGTCTGTGCTTGTCACCATATACCCTATGTGTATTTTCACTTTTTAATGCAGAAGGTTTTTTTTTTGTTTTTTTTGTTTTTTTTTTATACCTCCCCATTGACCTGCAGCAGCGCTGGTCTGGGTTGCCTTGAGTATGTGGGAATGGAACCACCGCTCAAAGAACCTGACTGCCTCCTTTAAGCAGGCACTTAAACAACTGAGCTAATGGGCGGGCCCCCTATTTTCACTTTTTAAATCATAGAGACCAGGGCCAGGGAGATGGCTCAGTGGAATAAGCGCTTCCCTGGCAAGCGCAAGGGCCTGAGTTCAATCCCCGGTTCCGGAAAAAAAAAAAAATCATAAAGACCAAATACAAATGGGAAAAAATCCCATTAGCAGAGGAAACATGGCCATGAGACCAGAGCATTTACTGATGTTAGGATAACCCTTGTTTTCTTAGTGTTCGTGTGCCATTGGCTTGTCCTTATGCTTACCCTATGGCCCACGTGTCTCCTTGATCCATAGTCTGTTTTTATAGAGCTCTTAAGGTAATACTTAAGAGCTCTATAATGTTATGTTATAGAGCTATAACAATAATATATATAACATTACAGTAATGTAATGTTACTGTGTTTTAAGTGCTATAAAAGGAAAAGAAAAATTACTGAAATTGTAAACAGAGACTGTATGTAGATATAGAGTCTGAAGTATTTGCTATATGGCATTTAGAAAAAAATGTTTTGAACGTTGGATTAGAACAAAGGCATTAAAGCCTGGTGTGGTGGCACATGCCTGTAGTCTCAGCACTTGGGAGGCTGAGCAAGAGGAGTGAAGTTGGCTGAAGGCCGACTGGGCTACATAGTGAGTTCAAGACCAGCGTACCCTTCACAGCAAGACCCTGTCTCAACCAAAACAAAATAGAAAAGAGCAAAAGGAACTAAAGTGAACCTTAGAATGTCACTTACATGGGAAGAAAATATTGACTATGTTTATTTTTTTATTTATTTGATACAGGGTCTCACTGAACAGTTCAGACTCATAGTGATCCTCCTGTATCAGCTTCCCCAGCACTGGGATTACAGGCATACGCCACCATGCCCGGTTCCAGGGCCAGCACGACATGCAGTACCAAGGATTGAACTTGGGTCCTTTCCAGGCAGGTGCTTAGACTGTTGAGCTATCTCCCCAGTCTTTGATAATCTATTTTAATTTGAATGAAATTATCCCAAAGTGCTTGGACAATTTATTCTGAATGAAATCAATTGATACTTAGGTATTAAATAATGAACTAAAAAGGTAAATTGTAACGATAATATTATCAAGACTGTTAAGCTACTAGAAGAATAGACCGATAGTGTTTCTGTCTAGGAATTGTTATATTCATGTGTTTAAAATGATGGTTAAATGGTATAGCTAGAAATGTTGACACTCAGCAGAGGAAATCCCTCTCTTCACTAATAACAAAGTATCTCTGTAGCCTTGTAGAGGGGAGGGCATGGTACTTTTATTTCTTTGACAAAAAGAACACAGTATGTTCTTTGGTATGAAGGTGTGATTCTTACTTTTGTACTTGTGGTCCAGAGGTATAAAGGTCATTAACCCTTGTTAAACTAATTAATGGAACCTAGCAGATAGATCCTTCTTTCAAATATAGATGGCTTAAGGAAAATGGGTATAAAGCACCTCATCCAGGCCTACTCTTTTGAATTACGCAACCTTCTAGGCCCTAAGGGAACAACCACTTTGTTATCGGTCTTCTTGACACCTTTGTCCTCTGGGCTTTCAAACCTTACAAACAGCATTTGGAGCAAGATGAAGATGATGTTCAATGAAGTCCACCTTTTGTATTTGTACTGTGAAGTACTGTTTAGCCCAAGCGCTTCACAGTGGCAACCATTCAATTTACATTCATTTAAAAGTGCCAACCCTGGGATCTGACAGGATGTAGACATGTGAGCTTGAACTCTAGTGCAGCAGGCCCTGAGTATCTCAGGGGCACAGGAGAGGAGAGAGCCACGTGGTGATAAGCAGCATTCGCTCTCAAGTAGTTACCTTGGCTTCCATGCGTCACAGCTCTTCATTTAGTTTGTAAATACTTGAGTTTGTTCAAATATTTGCGTCATTCTCACATACGGTGAACAAACAAATGAGCAAGACCTAGTTCAGCTTTCAGGTATGCTTGGAAGTCATGGTTGGAAGGAAAAGAATGTAGCAGGAGCTGTTAAATGGAAGTGGAGCAGTGTGCCTGTAAGTTTACCACCTGGGACGCTGAGACATGAGCATGGACGGTCAGTTTGAGGTCAACTTTGGCTCCGTAGCAAGTTCAAGGCCAGCCTGCTCTATGTAAGGCAGAATTAAAAAAAAATAAACAAAAAAGACTCTACCCTTGTATAGCTTATTTATGAAGATGATGAAGGTAAGCCTTGTAGAGGAAGTATAGACAGGGTATGGGGCCCAGAATATGAAACACAAGTATAAATGTTTAGTTGAGACAAAAATATGTTTCAGTATTATTAGTTCTAAAGTCTAGAGTTTATTTGTACTAATTAGCTACTCAAGGCAGTATTTTCCTTTTCCTTTTCCTAGAGATGTATCCTGCAATAAAATACAGTCTATTCAAAGACATACCTTTGAACCACTACCTTTTTTGGAGTTCATGTAAGTTACAAATATAACCTTACAATATTTGCACTTCTGTAAACTCTTTGCTGCTCGTTTTGAAATCCTTTCAGTATCTACCAAAGATTAGTATA